CTAGAAAGATCAAGGAAATGAAAAATATCACAAAATGCAAAATCTAACCAACAAAAACACATTTAAAGTAGACAATAAAGATAAGATCATTAATTACAAAATGGCTGAGAAGTAAACCTTTCCTTCTCTGTGGGTAAAGTCCGAGTTGTTGTAAAACTGTCCCCTCCATCAACACTGATCAGTTAATCATCTACAGGTGGAAATTGAGAGGAAAACCACTACATCAGCCCTCAGGATGTCTGAGCTGAAACACAGGTCATACTGCTGGGTAGCCTTGAAGTAGGTCTAGCTTCCACCAGGGTGGATGGTGATCATAGAGGCACTGTACCTGCTAAAATCATGATTTGTTTCCTTTGGGCTCAGACAAGTGATAAGAAAGCAGCGCATTGTATCCATAGTCTGCATTCACAGCTCCTTTGCCGCTAAGTATCCTGTTTCAGCAGTATAAGAGATGGTCACACTGTTAACAAATCTTTTATGTGTAACTAGAGAAAAATATTTTTTTGATGAAGCCTGTACATATTAACAGTATTCTTTTCAAAGTCTGAGTCTTCAGCAGGATTCATTGGAAATTTAGGCCGTGTTGCTGTGTTTTCACTGATGTTCATATATAGTAACGTGCTTGGAAAAGATGGAGAATCATTGTTTACATCCAAGATGGTAATTTAAAAGTGGTAGTTTAAGTGGATTAATAATAAATGCTTCTACATTAAATGAACTTTTGGCTTCATCGCCAAAGAGTTCCTCTATATCAATTCTCTCCTAGAGGTACAGAGCACCAGTATTTAGGTTTATCTCAACTACCTAATATTTGATCCAGTAAATATCTGAAACATGCAGGCTTCCAGCTCCTGGATGTTAAGATTGAGATCCTCTGCAGTTTTTCCAAAAAAGGTTCCACGGTCCACCTACTCCGTAATGGAATAAGCAAGATGTCCAAAACTTGTCTCGACCTAACATTCCATCAGTACGAAAATAACATATATCAACACAGATCTCAATTCTTCTATTCTATGCATATTCGAATGTGACTATACAATGCTACAATCAATTTAGAAATGAATGTATCTTTACTGATTTTTCTAAAACATTGTTCAAATGTTCCCCAATCATAATGATATTCTTACCATGACACAAAGACTTCAGGAAAAGTTCATCTAAACACTCCTTTTCAGTAATGTTTCACTCCTTAGATCATAGCCATTTTCAGCACCACGGACAGCGAGAAATCATTAAGAGACAAGCTGGTATCTCTAAATAAAGCCGTAATAATAAACACAGAAACAAGCGTGTTTGCTCAAACTAAGAGTAAACAAAGTAATAGATCAATCAATCAGTCTGTGAATTAATCGATCAATTGAGGAATAAAACATCTGTCTCCAATACCTTAGTTGCAATACCAGGAAAGTTTCCTATTAACTCTATATAATCACTTACTGGTTTACATATAAAAAAGGAAAACAAATCTATAGATTTTGGTTAAGTTGACAGGATATTTCCAACACTCCACAAGCCCCAAAACAACAACAAGAACTTTCTTTCTTAAAAAACGTGTTGCACAGTGAACATGTTAAAACATCCTGACACATAAAAGGGATTGGGTTATGATCAGCCCTCGGTAAATCCCCGCTTCAAAGCAATAATGAGCAGAGATTTTAATACAATACAATTTCAAAGTTCAAAATCATATTATATTGTGAACTATGAAGTACATTTTTATTAATTAAAATGTAGATATTTAAAATGGCAGTTTCTGAAAAGTTAGAAATGTCTACATGTTGGTATTAAAATAACATACTTTGCAACATTTTCAAAGAACAAACGCATTTTTTATAAGACTTAACAAAATCATTAAATATCCGGATAAAATATGTTAACTCAGAAGGTGCTTACCTTGTCATTGTTTGGTAAAGTCTGAGTTCTGGTAAAAGTGTCTCCTCCATTAACACTAATAAGTTCAGCATCTATAGCTGGAAACGGAGCAGGGAATACCACTACATCACTCTTCAGTGTGTCTGAGCTGAAACACACATCATATTGCTGCGTAGCTTTAGAGTAAGACCAGCTCCCGTCAGGGTGGGTGGTGATCATGGGGGTGTGATACTTGCTGAAAGTTCTGTCTGTCCTGTAGCATCTGGCTGCTATTAAACTGATCAGACTCAGTAGAAAGATCACGGAAACAGAAATGATGGATATCAGCAGATATAAATTTAAATCAGATAGGTCATCTTCTTTTGTAGGCAAATGCCTAAACTGTGTCTGAACACCAGGTATGCTTTCAACAACCATAACCTCAACAGACACAGTAGCTGACAGAGAAGGTTCTCCATTATCAGAAACCACCACCACCAACGGGTGAGTTTTCAGGTCATTGTCACTCATTTTCCTTTTAGATCTTATTTCCCCCGTGCTGGTTCCGATCCTGAACAAGTTGTTTCCTTTGGGCTCAGACAGGTGATATGAAAGCAATGCATTGTATCCAGAATCCGCATCCACAGCCCTGATCTTTGCTACAAAGTATCCTGCTTCAGCAGAATAAGGGATGGTCTCACTGTTAACAGATCCATGCTCAGAATAGGGTGCTAATATACTTGGGCTATTATCATTTTCATCCAGTATTAAAACATTTACTGTAACATTGCTGCTGAGTGGAGGAATGCCAGAGTCTGTGGCCTGAACTTTAAAATGAAACGTTTTCAACTCCTCATAGTTAAAAGACTGAAGAGTTATTAAATCACCTGTTTCTGAATTAATGTTAAGAAGTTTAGAAATACCTAGTGAGTCACTTTTAGTTTGTAAAAATGAATAGGTAACCCGACCATTACTATCAATATCGGCATCAAATGCGGAAACAGTTTTAATAACTGCCCCCACCGGGCTGTTCTCTTTTACATAAACATTAATTTGGGGATCAGAGAAACGTGGTGGGTTATCATTAACATCAGATACTTTAATATTAACAGTGTTGGTGCTGGAGAGAGAGGGAGTCCCTTCATCAGTTGCTAGGATAGTTATGTTATATTCAGCAACTGACTCTCTATCTAGTGTCCCACTAACTACTAAAGAGTAATAATTTTTATAATTTGTTTCCAGCTTAAAAGGGACTTCATTTGGAATAACAGCTTTTACCTCTCCATTTTTCCCACCATCTTTGTCCTGCACAGACACAAGAGCAATAGCTGTACCAGGTTGTGCATCCTCCTTCACTGTGTTTAGCAATGATGTTACTGTGATCTCAGGAGCATTATCGTTTAGGTCTAGTACCTCTACCAGCACTTTACAGTGAGCAGACATTGGAGGTTGACCTTTGTCACTTGCCTGTGCATGAATTTCAAAGGCAGGGTTTACCTCATAGTCAACATTACCTTTGATAAGAATAGCACCTGTTTTAGAGTCAATCTGAAATAGATCTAAAACTTGATCTTGACCTTTAGTTCTTAAAGAATATTGTATTTCAGCGTTTATCCCATCATCTGCATCTACTGCATTCAAAACTATAACTGTACTACCCACTGGTATGTTCTCAGATATTCTTGCTTTGTACAGGGAACTACTAAAAACCGGAGAGTTGTCATTATTATCTAAAACTGTGATAACAATCTGTGCTGTCCCTGACTTTGGTGGATTTCCCCCATCCAGAGCAGTCACAGTAAGTTTGATGGTCGGGTGTTTTTCTCGATCCAGAGCCTTCTGAAGCACAAGCTCAGCTGAAACACTGTCTTCAGTCTTGTGGATCTCTAAAGAGAAATAATCGTTTCGACTGAGTTTGTATGTGCTGACACTGTTCTTTGCGACATCCAGATCTAAAGCGCCTACAAATCCAAATTTACTTCCTGGCACGGTACTTTCTGCTATATTTAGAGACTGCAGTTTTTCGGAAAAATACGGTGCATTATCATTTATATCAATGATATTTATTACCAATCTATACAGCTTCAGTGGATTATTTAGAACGGCCTCTACATTAACAGCGCATTGTGCTGCCTTAGCGCAAAGCTCCTCTCGGTCGATTCTTTCACTGACATAGAGGCTGCCCGTTTTCAGATTTACGTCGAAGTATTTTCTTTTAGATCCGCTGACAATCTGAAACATCCTCGTCTCTAGGTCTTGCAGGTTAAGATTTAAATCCTTTGCGAGATTTCCCACAGACGTACCGGGATTTACCTCCTCTGATATAGAATACGAGAGCTGTCCACATCCCGGTTTCCAGAAACATTCCAAAATAACAAAGAGCAAATAGATCTTTAAAGGTCCGTGTATTTTTCCAGTCGGCATATTGTTATCCAGTTCTTTGGGAGCGCGCCTGGACGGTAATGTCCATTTAATGTAGTTGATAATTCATGTTGATGGTGCAGTATCAGAAAAAGAGTAACTGCGTTCTATAAAGAAATAAGCAAAAGGATTCTGCGTCTCTTTGTGTCAAAGCACGAGAAACATCGTCCCATTAATTTGGGAGGGGCCATAATGCGAGCTGCAAAAAACATGTGACGGTCTATGATGTCCCCATGTGGATGTATAAAATAACTACATTTATAACCGAAGATGAATGAATGAATTAAAAGATAAAAAATATAATAGATATTTATGTAATTATTTAAATACGTAAATAGATAAATAAAAAAAATAAAAAAATAACAGCAAAAGAGCTCAAATGCAGTAACTTGAAAACGTATCAGCTCCATTCTTTATCATGTACAAAGATGTGAAATGTATGATTCTATTGCACAATCTTTACCAAAAGAAACACTGCTTTGATGCTTATTTAAGCACAATACACCAACACCACTATCTAAACGAATTTTGGTTCCTTCTCAACTTATACACCTTTATGTTTCAAAACAACACCCAAAAGCATACATTAAAAAGTATATACAATATCTATTTTATATAAAAGAGCTATTTTGTTGTCTCGTGTGACAAAAGAAACTTGTCATTTTCTACATTGCATGATTAATCCATTTTGGTTAAAAATAAATACATTTGCAACACATCAAATATAATTATCTTACCTTTTCCTTGTTTGGTAAAGTCTGAGTTCTGGTAAAAGTATCTCCTCCATTTATACTGATTAGTTCAGCATCTACAGATGGAAACGGAGCGGGGAAAACCACTACATCACTCTTCAGTGTGTCTGAGCTGAAACACATGTCATATTGCTGGGTAGCTTTAGAGTAAGACCAGCTCCCGTCAGGGTGGGTGGTGATCATGGGGGCGCCATACTTGCTGAAAGTACTGTCGGTCCTGTGGCATCTGACAGCTATTAGACTGATGAGACTCAATAGAAAGACAACGGACACTGACACGATGGCTATCAGCAGATACATGTTTAAATCAGAGAAGTTGTCATCCTTTAAGGGCACATGTCTGAACTGAGTCTGTACATCAGCTGTGCCTTCAACAACCACCACCTCAATAGACACAGTAGCTGACAGAGAGGGTTCTCCATGATCAGAAACCAGAACAACCAATGGGTGGGTTTTCAGGTCATTGTCACTCATTCTTCTTTTAGTCCTGATTTCTCCGGTGCTGGTTCCAATTCTGAACAGGTTGTTTCCTTTGGGTTCAGACAGGTGATAAGAAAGCAATGCATTGTATCCAGAATCTGCGTCCACGGCTCTGATCTTTGCAACAAAATATCCTGTTTCAGCTGAATAAGGGATAGTCTCACTATTAATGGATCCGTGCTCAGAATATGGGGCTAAAATAGTTGGATTATTATCATTTTCATCCAGAATTAAAACCTTAACAGTCACGTTGCTGCTGAGTGAAGGAACACCTGAGTCTGTGGCCTGAATTTTAAACTGAAAAGTCTTTAACTCCTCATAGTTATAAGACTGCTGATTAATTATATCTCCTGTTTCTGAGTTAATATTTATCATGGATCTGAGAGGCAGAGGATTACTGTTATCATATAAAAGAGAATAGCTTACCAGACCATTTTGATCAGTGTCGGCATCAAATGCTGTCACTGTTTTAATAACTAATCCTGTTTGACTGTTTTCTTTTATAAAAATGTTGATACTATCTTCTGTAAAATGAGGTTTGTTATCATTAACATCAGAGACATGTACAGGAATCGTGGTGGTGCTGGAGAGAGGTGGGTTGCCCTCATCTCTAGCCGATATCATAATATTATAGTGTGATGCTATTTCTCTGTCTAGAGGTCCATCCACAACTAAAGAATAGTAATTCTTATAATTTGACTCCAACTTGAAAGGGACATCGTTGGAAATTTTGCAGTTAACGATTCCGTTTTTACTGCTATCTTTATCGAAGACAGAAACAAGAGCAATCGCGAGGCCAATGGATGCATCCTCTTTCACTGTGTTCAACAGAGATGTTACTCTAATTTCAGGGGCATTGTCATTTACATCTAAAACTTCAATAAGCAATTTAGCATGTGAGTTTAATGGCGATGAACCTTTATCTCTTGCCTGCACCCGAATCTCAAAAGCAGCATTTTCTTCATAGTCTATATTCTCTTTAACTGTTACACACCCTGTATTTTGATCGATATCAAAAAGATCGGTTTCTTTTCCACTTACTTCATTGAATGAATACGTAACCTGTCCATTTTGCCCTTCATCTAAATCTGTAGCATTTAATTTCATTATTACAGTACCTATTTTTATATTCTCATACACCTTAGCTTTGTATAGAGCTTGACTGAATGTCGGTGGATTGTCATTATTGTCCAAAACATTTATCATTATGGTCATACTACCAGATTTAGCAGGTGTTCCTCCATCCATAGCAGTTAGTATCAACTGAATAAAAGTGTCTTTTTCTCTGTCTAACATTTTCTGAAGCACTAGTTCGGGGCTCTTTTTCTCTCCTTTTTGCGTTACTAGAGAAAAGTATTCGTTCTGACCAAGTCTGTAGGCACTAACTGAATTTTTTCCAACGTCTGCATCGTGAGCTGGGTGCAATGGGAATTTAGTGCCAGCTGCTGTACTTTCGCTAATATTGATAATCTGAGACCTGCTGATAAATGTGGGGGAATTATCATTTATATCTAAAATTGCAATTTCTACACGGTTCAATTTCAAAGGACTGTTGATAACTGCTTCTAAGGCTATTGAGCATTTTTCTTCATTACCGCACAGTTCCTCTCGATCTATTCTCTCATTCACGTAAAGGGCGCCTGTCTTTAGGTTTACCTCAAAATATTTTTTCTTCGACGCTGCAACGATCTGGAACATACGTGTTTCCAATTCCTGGACATTTAGCTTGAGATCTTTGGCAATATTCCCGAAAACAGTCCCTTTATTTACCTCTTCCGAAATTGAGTAAGCAAGCTGTCCCAAAGCTCCTTGCCAGCAGCAATCAAGTAGCACAAAGACGAGGTATATCCACACAGAGCTTGCATTCCCGGGAAAATGCATATTCCCATTAATATAAGAACAAATGGAAAGAAAAAAAATACTATTATTCACGCAATTGGATTATAGAATACAAGACGCCATTTTATGATGTACCGCCAACAACAAACAACGAAAAAACAAATCCAGAAGCTTCACACAAACGGGATCTTGTCGTGCCGTTTCAACCCTCTTTTCTCTTTGTTTCAAACGTCAGAGAAGCCTCAACATTACCATCATACTCGGGGAGGAGCTCGGACGATTTAAAAAGACAATTTACATGTAACGGTCTACTATGTCCCCATGCGGACAAATGCAGGAACTGCGCCACAACCCCCTAAATTCTGACCAATACGATGAGTTTTTTTTATCTTTATATCCCAGAAAATGGTGATTAAAAATGTTTTTATTGTGATCTAATTTGCAGCGTAGAGATCTCAGTTAACCTTTGATTTAGAAAAAAAACATAAAAAAAAGAACACAACATAGAACAAATACAAAAACTTTCAGGTTTTAATCAGATATACCATGTTTAGAAATATTCTGAAATATAAAATGATTGCAACTATAACATGGAAAATTTATATTTAGTCTTCACCACCACGGACAGTAACCCAAACAAGCGATAAATAGACTGATGTGGGCAACATTTAAAAATAAAAAATCAGCGGAGTGCAGTTTAAATCAAGTCAGTAAAATTTCATTGATAAGTTAGATGTTAAATTATATTCATGGACATGAATAGGACATTTTACTAAACACACCAGAATGAGCCATACAATTTGCAGTAACAAACATAAAAACCGGTTCTTACCTTTTCTTTAGTGGGCAAAGTCTGAGTTGTGGTAAAAGTGTCTCCTCCATTTATACTGATTAATTCCGCATCTACAGGTGGGAACGGTGAGGGGAAAACCACTACATCGCTCTTCAGTGTGTCTGAGCTGAAACACACGTCATACTGCTGAGTAGCTTTAGAGTAAGACCAGCTACCGTCAGGGTGGGTGGTGATCATGGGGGCGCTATACTTGCCAAACGTATTGTCTTTTCTGTTGCATCTGACAGCTATTAAGATTATAAGAGTGAATAGAAATATCACAGACACAGACACGATGGCAAGGAGCAGGTACAAGTTCAAATGAGATAAGTTATCATCCTTTATAGGCACGTGTCTGTACTGAGTCGGACTGTCTGCGGTGCTTTCAACCACCACCACCTCAATAGACACAGTAGCTGACAGTGAAGGTTCTCCATTATCAGAAACCAGAACCACCAAGGGGTGGGTTTTAAGGTCGTTGTCACTCATTCTCCTCTTTGTCCTGATTTCACCGCTGCTGGTTCCGATTCTGAACAAGTTGCCTCCTTTGGGCTCAGAGAGATGATAAGAAAGCAGCGCATTGTATCCAGAGTCCGCGTCCACAGCCCTGATCTTTGTTACAAAGTATCCTGCTTCAGCAGAATATGGGATGGTCTCACTGTTAACAGATCCGTGCTCAGAATAAGGAGCTAAAATAGTTGGATTATTATCATTTTCATCCAAGATTAAAACATTAATAGTAACGTTGCCAGTAAGCGGAGGGACACCGGAGTCAGTGGCTTTAATTTTAAACTGAAACATTTTTAATTCCTCATAGTTAAATGATTGCAGGGCAAATATATTTCCTGTTTCTGAGTTTATGTTAAGCATTGATCTGAGAGGCAGCGGGTTACTGATATCATGTAAAATTGAGTAGCTAACCTGACCATTTTGATCACTGTCTGCATCAACTGCTGACACAGTTTTAATAACCATCCCTGTTGGATTATTCTCTTTTATGAAAATGTTTACAGTGTCTTCTATAAAGCGAGGTGTGTTATCATTAACATCAGAGACGTGTAAGAGAATGACACTTCTGCTGGAGAGGGGTGGACTACCTTCGTCTGTAGCTATGATGCTAATATTATATTGAGGCGTCTTTTCTCTGTCTAAATGTGCGCCCACAACTAAAGAGTAGTAGTTGTTGTAATTTGACTCTAACTTGAAAGGGACGTTATTGGAAATTTCGCAATTAACCTTTGCATTTTTACCCGCGTCTTTGTCAGAGATAGAAACCAGAGCAATCGCGGTGCCAATGGATGCATCCTCCTTCACTGTGTTTAACAAAGATGTTACTGTAATTTCAGGCGCATTGTCATTCACGTCTAATACTTCAATAAGTAATTTAGCATGCGAGGTGAGGGGCGAGGCTGCCTTATCACTGGCCTGAACTCGAATCTCAAAAGCTGTATTCTCTTCAAAATCTATATTCCTCTTAATTTTTATAGTTCCAGTTTTCTCATCTATTTCAAACAAATCGGTTTGTTTTTCCCGACCCATTTTACTAAATGAATAAACCACCTCTCCATTTTGCCCTGCATCCAAATCAGTGGCATTCACCGTTACTATCGACGTACCTATTTTTGCATTTTCATGCACTTTGGCTTTGTACAGAGTCTTACTGAATATTGGTGCGTTGTCATTAACATCTAAAACATGTATTAATATTGTCATACTGCCTGACTTAGCTGGTGTCCCCCCATCAACCGCAGTTAGTAGCAGCTGAAGCTCAGACTGTTGTTCTCTGTCTAAAGCTTTCTGCAGCACGAGTTCGGGAGCAACGATTTCTCCTTTATTTGTAACCAGAGAAAAATAATTATTTTGACTAAGCTTGTACATATTGACGGTGTTTTTACCGAAGTCCAAATCTTCAGCAGCATTGATTGGGAATTTAGCCCCTGCTGCTGTGTTTTCTCCGACATTTAGAGATAATAATTTGTTGGGAAAGGATGGGTAATTATCGTTTACATCCAGGATTGCAATTTCAAAACGGTACAATTTAAGTGGATTATTAATAACAGCTTCTACATTAAGCGAACATTGTGCTTCAGTACCACAGAGGTCCTCTCGATCTATTCTCTCATTTACGTACAGAGCACCAGTCTTCAGGTTTACCGCAAAATATTTTTTCTTTGATCCAGTAACGATCTGAAACATGCGGGCTTCCAGCTCCTGGACGTTAAGATTGAGATCTTTGGCAATGTTTCCAACAAAGGTTCCACGATTCACCTCTTCTGAGACGGAATAAGAAGGATTTCCAAACGCAGTATCGTAGTAATCCACCAGAACAGCGATGACATATATCCACACAGAACAAAATCTTCCCTGCCAACGCATATTTAAATTTATAAAAGTGACAAAAATCTATTTCGTAAAAACATATGTTAATTATAACCTAAATACATTTCTGAAAGAAATGAGCCAAACGTAATGATTTGAGGTATGTTTCATCTAGAAAAAAACAGATCTCCACGCCGTCATCTTCACCGTATAAATCCCTTTGTCTTTGTGGGTTTTTAAACGTGTAGCCTACTAAGGAAGGGCGGGCTTCACATATCATATATCCAGCTAAAATGTGATGGTCTACATTGTCCCCATGTGGACATATGCAGGCAGTGCATGCACAAGGGATAATTTGATAATTACAACCATGTTTGTCTTCCAACAGAAATAAATCCCTATGTTTCGATCAGACGATGATATTGATCACTAGCTGGTCCATGTTTCTCGCCAAATTAACTTCTGTGATTACAATTTTCTAAGCAACACTTCACTTTTAGAGAATCAAATATCAAATATTGTGGAATTCTTAAATCCTCCAAACTGAAGACATATCTCTGTATACATTCCAGACCAGGGGCGTTGCTAGGCACAAAGCTTTACTGGGGCACTGGCCCCCTACCGCATATGCCCATCCTTCCATACACAAATACAGACAAGCACACTGCCCCACCCTGATATATTCCTACCAAAAATACTAGTTGAGATATTAATGAGTGTAAGAGTATATTTGTTTTAACAAATATACTCTTTGTTAAAACAATGTTATAGCTGCAATGTTGAACATTTTCAACATTGCAGCTATAAAAAATAAGACATCACCAACTTTAAAAATCAAAAATTTCCTTATACACATTCTGAAGTAATCATTAATTTCTAGGTTTCAGAGTTTTATTTCAGGGGAAAGTTTAACTCAACATGAACTAAGTTTTTATTTTATTTTATAAGCATTAAAGTGTACCTCCTATTTATCATTTTTGCAAAGCGGTCAATCACTAGACTGTGACTCAGCTTAGAAAGTTCTTCCTTTTCAACTGATAAAATAGCAAGATGATGGAGCCTGTCTTGTCCCATTGTGCACCTCAGCCAAGTGTGGAGCTTTCTCAACACACTGAATGACCTTTCACAACTCCAGCTGTAGACTGGGATTGTGAGGGAGATCTGGATGACCTGCGTTAGTGTGGGGAACATGGTGTTATCAAGCAAGTTGAAAACACACTGCATATCCTTGATGACAAGGCTGTCTTTTTCAACCATAAAAAGCTTTCAAACCATTTTGAATTAAATGAAAGTTTTTTTTACTCCAAATTTGTCCTGGGGATAGTGGGACAACTTCACTTGTTTAGGACCATCATGCTTTCCCCCTAATTCACTAATGTCCCCTTCTTGTTTGTGGAAGCTGGTTGTTGCTCCCTCATCACCTTCATGGTCCTGTCTCTCCTGTCTCTCACCTGTCTCTTGCCTGTCAGTCTCGCCTCCTCCTCCCTTTCCTACTCCAGCACCTTCATTCTCATTCTCTACAGCAAACATTAAAAAACGTAAATTTATAATTATGTAAATATCTATCATATTGCTTATAACATTCCTAATGTAACTAGTCAGCTTAAATCACTGATTCATCACGGGACCTTACCTCCCTCTCTCTCATCTTGTTTTACTGCTTCCCTGTCTCTGCTTCATGTGAGGAATTTCCTGATATTCATCTACAAACCAATGCAGTAATTTTCAGTTAGTAGCCTATAAATCATGTGGTTTCACTGGGAAAATAATAAAATTGACAGGTAAGAAACGTTACCAGAACAACGTTTCTTACCTGTCAATTTAAAAGAAAAATGCGTCGCGGCCGCACAGTGTCCCATCCAACTCAGTTGAGAGCAGCGCGTTAGTTTACCTGCAGTTCATGCAGTGACATGCGCTGACGTGGGGGCGCTAATACATCCTCAATTTGGAGTTAACAACACACTTGCTACGCATTTGAGTAGAAATATACTTCTTCTCCTGTTGGAATTATCTAAATTGATGCATTAAAGAAATGTATCACTATTGCAAATATTCATGAGATTTATACTGGGGCACAGCTCATTTATACTGGGGCACGTGCCCCAGTAAATGGGGTCTGGCGACGCCGATGTTCCAGACCTATGTTTCAGTGGTTACTATGAATCTTATTTTTATTTATCTATCTTTAATGTTCATTTTGGAAGGCTTGACTGTTTTTCATATTGACAATTGTGGATATATTAACAGAACACAATGTTGACCAAAATTAACTTTTATAAATTCCAAGATTTTTAATACACACTATTTCGCTCTTAAGAGCACCTCTGCCCCAACCTCTTTCAGAACCATGGACAGCACCATAAAAAGTCAAAGTAGCACTACTGCAGCCAGAGTTCAGAACTTCTTGTATTAAATAAAAATAACACGCTTGCTGGAAGTAAGAATGAATGACACTTCTGGCTCCCAAATCTCATTACACCTTGAAGGTTTAATAACAATTGTATATAGTTACTTAATGCTTTAGAAAATATATTGAAAGATATAAAATAAAAAAATAAATACGGGCATCGTGTAGCCATCAGTAAATCCATGCTTGTTATACAATTACATTATACATCTGAAACTTGTTTACGCAGTGTATCATATACTTCTATGCATAAGTAGGCATTTGGCCTTTTTCCAGTGCTTTAGAAATGTTAATACACACAATGGGACTATTTAAAGAAACAAATTGAAAAATGTAGTCAATCTACAAACCTAGTCAAGAATATTTGCATCGGGCTGCTGACAAGTATCACATACATTCAAATTTGGAGAATATTATACATCAAACTTCAAATATAGGTTTCAAAAAGCATTGAAGATACAAAAAAAAAATAGCTTACCTTTTCTTTATTTGGTAAAGTCTGAGTTCTGTTAAAAGTATCCCCTCCATTAATACTGATCAGTTCAGCATCTACAGGTGGAAACGGTGAGGGAAAAACCACTACATCACTCTTCATTGTGTCTGAGCTGAAACACACGTCATACTGCTGGGTAGCTTTAGAGTAAGACCAGCTCCCATCAGGGTGGGTGGTGATCATGGGGGCGCTGTACCTGCTAAAATCGCTGTCAGTCCTGTGGCATCTGACAGCTATTAGGATGATTAGACTCAGCAAAAAGATCACAGAGACTGACACAATGGCGATCAGCAGATATACGTTCAAATCAGAGAAGCTGTCCACCTTTACAGGCACCTGTCTGAACTGATTTTGGATGTCAGCTGTGCTTTCAACCACCATCACCTCAATAGACACAGTAGCTGACAGGGAAGGTTCTCCATTATCAGTAACCAGAACCAACATGGGGTGGGTTTTCAGGTCATTGTCGCTCATTCTCCTCTTAGTCCTGATTTCTCCAGTACTGGTTCCGATCCTGAACAAGTTGTTTCCTTTTGTCTCAGACATATGATATGAAAGCAATGCATTGTATCCAGAATCTGCGTCCACAGCCCTGATCTTTGCTACAAAATATCCTGCTTCAGCAGAGTATGGGATGGTCTCTCGGTAAACAGAGCCAAGCTCAGAATAGGGATCTAGAATGGTTGGATTATTGTCATTTTCATCCAAGATTATAACCTTTACTGTAACATTGCTGCTGAGTGGAGGAACACCGGAGTCTGTCGCCTGAACTTTAAATTGAAACGTTTTCAACTCCTCATGGTTAAAAGACTGCAGAGTTATTATATCACCCGTTTCTGAATTAATGTTAACAAGCTTAGAGGAACTCAGTGAGTCACTGTTAGTTTGTAAAAAGGAATAGGACACCCGGCCATTATTATCACTATCAGCATCAAATGCTGAAACCGTTTTAATAATTGCCCCTACCGGGCTATTCTCTTTTACATAAACATTAATTTGGGGCTCAGAGAAACGGGGTGGGTTGTCATTAACATCAGATACTTTAATATTTACAGTGTTGGCGCTGGAGAGAGAGGGAGTCCCTTCATCAGTTGCTAGGATAGTTATATTATATTCAGCAACCGTCTCTCTATTTAGTGTCCCACTAACTACTAATGAGTAATAATTTTTATAATTTGTTTCCAGCTTAAATGGGACTTCATCTGGAATAACAGCTTTTACCTCTCCATTTTTCCCACCATCTTTGTCCTGCACAGATACAAGAGCAATAGCTGTACCAGGTTGTGCATCCTCCTTCACTGTGTTTAGCAATGATGTTACTGTGATCTCAGGAGCATTATCGTTTAGGTCTAGTACCTCTACCAGCACTTTACAGTGAGCAGACATTGGTGTATGACCTTTGTCACTTGCCTGTGTATGAATTTCAAAGGCAGGGTTTACCTCATAGTCAATATTACCTTTGATTAGAACAGCACCTGTTTTAGAGTCAATCTGAAATAGATCTAAAACTTGATCTTGACCTTTAGTTCTTAAAGAATATTGTATTTCAGCGTTTATCCCTTCATCTGCATCTACTGCACTTAAAACTATAACTGTACTACCCACTGATATGTTTTCAGATATTCTCGCTTTGTACAGAGAACTACTAAAAACCGGGGAGTTGTCATTGATATCCAAAACTGTGATAATAATCTGTGCTGTCCCTGACTTTGGTGGATTTCCCCCATCCAGAGCAGTCACAGTAAGTTTGATGGTCGGCTGCTTTTCTCGGTCCAGAGCCTTCTGAAGCACAAGCTCAGCTGACACGCTGTCTTCAGTCTTGTGGATCTCTAAAGAGAAATAATCGTTTCGACTGAGTTTGTATGTGCTGACACTGTTCTTTGCGACATCCAGATCTGAAGCGCCTACAAATCCAAATTTCCCCCCTGGGACGGTACTTTCTGCTATATTTAGAGACTGCAGTTTTTCAGAAAAATACGGTGCATTATCATTTATATCAATAATATTTATTACCAACCGATACAGCTTCAGTGGATTATTTAGAACGGCCTCTACATTAATAGCGCATTGTGCTGCCTTAGCGCAAAGCTCCTCTCGGTCGATTCTTTCACTGACATAGAGACTGCCCGTTTTCAGATTTACGTCGAAGTATTTTCTTTTAGATCCGCTGACAATCTGAAACATCCTCGTCTCTAGGTCTTGCAGGTTAAGATTTAAATCCTTTGCGAGATTTCCCACAGACGTACCGGGATTTACCTCCTCTGATATAGAATATGAGAGCTGTCCACATCCCGGTTTCCAGAAACATTCCAAAATAACAAAGAGCAAATAGATCCTTAAAGGTCCGTGTATTTTTCCAGTCATTGTTATCCAGTTCGTTGGAAGCGCGTCCTGGACGGTAATGTCCGCTTAATGTAATGATTCTTTAATGTTATTCACGGGGTATCATAAACGATCACTGATTTAAAAATAAATGGGCAAAAGGATATTCGTCCTCTTCTGTTCTGCGTCTCTTTGTTACAAATCACTGAGGAAACGGCATCCTATGAATTTGGGAGGGTCCATAAGCAGGCTACATATGCCATGCGACGGTCTATGATGTCCCCAAGTGGTTGTTTAAATCACTACATTCAAGACTGATGATCTTATTCATCAGCATCCGTTTTGTATTTTTGGTCAAGTTTCTTTAAAACTAAAATAAATGACTTATAGGATATATTTTGAACACATAAATTAAAAATAAACATTAAAAATAATTCCAACTAAAATTCATAGAATACTGCCCCACGTCATTTTCCTTTATAAAGACCGTTAAGGTTTAACATTAGCATGCCCCTTCCCACAAAAAATTGTTTGTATATTTCTTCAGCACCATGGATAACGACACATAAATCTCAAACACACCCTCTAGACATATGAACGTTTTTTTAAGCCCATGCAACAATATGTTTAAAAAAGGATACCCACATGAATACATTATGCCGTGCAAAAATAAATTAATAAATAAAGTAAAAGTTTTCTATATTCCCACACTTCATTAACATTTTCAAAATTTAAAGTTGCAGTACATATAATGGAATTATCTTACCTGTTCTTTGTTTGGTAAAGTCTGAGTTTTGTCAAAAGTGTCTCCTCCATTAAAACTGATCAGTTCAGCATCTACAGGTGAAAACGGTGTTGGGAAAACCACTACATCACTCTTCATTGTGTCTGAGCTGAAACACACGTCATATTGCTGAGTAGCTGTAGAGTAGGACCAGCTCCCGTCAGGGTGGGTGGTGATCATGGGGGTGTCATACTTGCTGAAATTGCCTTCTGTCCTGTGGCATCTGACAACTACTAAACTAATAAAGCTCAGCAGAAATATTACGGAGACTGAAACAATAGCAATAAGCAGGTACAAGTTCAAATCAGAAAGGTGGTTCTCCTTGATAGGGACATGTTTAAATTGAGTCTCAACATCAGAAGTGCTTTCAACCACCATCACCTCAATAGACACAGTAGCTGACAGTGAAGGTTCTCCATTATCAGAAACCAGAACCACCAAAGGATGAGTTTTCAGGTCATTGTCACTCATTCTCCTCTTAGTCCTGATTTCTCCAGTGCTGGTTCCGATCCTGAAGAGGTTGTATCCTTTGGGTTCTGATAGGTGATAAGAAAGCAGCGCATTGTATCCAGAGTCTGCGTCCACAGCCCTGATCTTTGCTACAAAGTGTCCTGCTTCGGCAGAATATGGAATAGTCTCACTGTTAACAGAGCCATGCTCAGAATAGGGAGGTAAAATTGATGGATTATTATCATTTTCATCCAGAATTAAAACATTAACAGTCACATTGCTGCTGAGCGGAGGAACACCAGAGTCTGTAGCCTGAAGTTTAAACTGAAAGGTTTTCAACTCCTCGTAGTTGAAAGACTTTAGGCTTATTATTTCTCCTGTCTTTGAATTAACACTTATTAGTGTAGATAATGGGATCATATTACTAGTACTTTGTAAAAATGAATAGCTCACCCTGCTGTTCTGCTCACTGTCAGCATCAGATGCAGTCACTTTTTTAAGCATGTCTCCAACTGCCCTGTTTTCCTTCACATGTACAGTTATCACATCCTCTGCAAAAAGCGGTGCATTATCATTTACATCAGAAACAGTTATAGAAACTGTCTGTGTATTTGAAAGCTTCGGGATTCCATTGTCAGAAGCAGCTATGGTAATGTTGTAGTCAGAAATTTTCTCCCTGTCTAGTGGCCCATCAACTATCAAGGAATAATAATTTTTATAGTTGGTTTCTAGTTTGAATGGGACATAATTCCTAATTTGAATCTTAACATCACCATTATTTCCGCTATCTTTATCTTGGACTGACACAAGTGCGACAACGGTGCCAATTGCGGCATCCTCCTTTACAGTTTGATGTAATAAGGTGAGAGTGATTTCAGGAGCGTTATCATTTAGATCCAAAACTTCCACCAACACCTTACTGTGAGTCGACATTGGTGGCTGTCCTTTATCACTTGCTTCTACGCGTATTTCAAATGCTTTTCTCTCCTCAAAATCTATATTGCCTTTTACCTTGATGATTCCTGTCTGTGGTTCAATTAAAAACATATCGAATATGTGATCCTGGTCTTTGCTCCTCAATGAATAAACAATCTCACTGTTTAGACCCTCGTCTACATCGGTGGCACTCACAGCAAGCACTGTGGTTCCTACTAGTGCATTTTCTGTAATATTTGCTTTATAAAGCGATTTGCTGAAGATAGGAATGTTATCGTTAATATCTAGCACATTAACAGTAATCTGTGAGGTGCCTGATTTAGGAGGACTCCCACCGTCTAACACAGTCAGTGTCATGGTGATCACAGGCTGCCTTTCTCTGTCTAATGCCTTCTGCAACACCAACTCTGCAGACACACTGTCACCTAATTTGTGCACAGCCAAAGAAAAATGCTCATTCAGACTTAATTTGTAAGAACTGACCCCATTTTTCCCTATATCTGCATCAGGTCGCTTCAGATAAAGCAAATTTCACTCCTGGTAAAGTACTCTCAGCAATATACAGATTCTGCTGTGTGGTGGTGAAGGATGGGGCATTGTCATTTACATCTAAAATTTCAAAGTCAATATGGTACAATTTCAATGGATTATTTATCACAGCTTCTACATTAATTGAGCATCTTGGCTCCTCTAAACAAAGCTCTTCCCTATCTATTCTTTCATTGACAAAGACAACACCCGTCTTAAGGTTAACCTCAAATAATTTTTTCTTCGATCTTGAAACAATCTGAAACATACGAGATTCCAGATCCTGTGTGTTGAGGTTTAGATCCTTGGCAATATTTCCAATCGGTGTTCCTGGGATTACCTCCTCTGAAACGGAATAAGAGAGCTGTCCAGCCACCATTTGTAGGCAAGAGTGGAGTAAAAAAAGGCAAAAATACATCTCCAAAAGCCTCAATCCACAAGAGAAAGACATTTCTGTCCAATATAGATGAAGAATGTTAACACACTCAATGTCAATGTGTAAAATTCCAGATGCAGTATGAGAGTAAGTGCACTGAATGGTTGTAAAATTTAGCGTCCTTTTATACCACCCTCAGTGCCTGTAAGACTGACAGAATGTTCAGCTGAATACAGGAGGTGCTTAGATGCTTCAAAAATGCACTGCTCTCTTTGATAGAGCATCAGTGACACTTAGTGGAGAACTGGTGACACAGGCAGAAAAAAAAGGTTTACTCTTCATGAAACATGTGCTTTTTGCATGACCCAACTGAAAGATGTGTCAGTCTCACAAAGTGTGGCTCACATCACTTCTTTATAAGACACTTTAATCTCATATCACCCTTAAAAAAAAAAAAATTATTTACCTAAAACTGTAAAAAAAAAAGTCTGTAAAATATACAGCAAAACATGCACTGTCAAATAGCGACAGTAAAGACCGTGAAACCAAAAGCGGTCTTTTAATTTATGAAATACATTAAATAATGGTTAATCAAGTGACTGGAAAAAACACAGAATATTACTCTAAAAATAAATAAAACTCACGTTGATTCACTGTGAAAATCAATAAATATGCATATATAAAAAAATATATTGTAAAGATAAAAATATCCAAAACATTAAATTTTAAGACATTATTTAGATAAAACTACAGGTTACTGAGTACTGCACATTAAAATGTACATTAAATACTGGTTGATTGTGAAGCAAGCATGAACTTTAATTTCTACAGAAGCTATCCATCCATCCATCAATTATCTGACACACTTTTCCCGAGTGGGGTCGCAAGGGGTGCTGGTGCCTATCTCCAGCTGTCAATGGGCGAGAGGCGGGGTATGACAATATAGTAAAGTAAACAAATTGCACCCTTTGTTTTCAATGATTCTTAATTTCCTGTTTCATTTTTTAAAGAAGTATGAAAAAAATAGCATATCATTGAATAAAGAAGAGGTAAATTCAAAGTTAAATCAGTTCTTAAAACTGTAAATGTAGATAACTATATGCAAAAGCTGCATTTAAAATGTTTATGACATTGTTTTGTCTACTTGCCTTTTATTTGTGCTATAGACTTTTTGATGCATTGCAAGCTCATATTAGCAGTACATAATGACCTATCTACTAGAAAGCATCCAAGAATATTTTTTAATCTGTTTTTGCATGATGATGGTCAAAGATAATGTAAAACTATGCAAAATGTTTTTTTTATTCATTTATATAAATCTTTGCTTTAATTGATATAGTCAGATAAAAATCATTAGAAAAACAAAAAGAACAAAAAGAAACAAAGAAAATCACATTACAAATCTTTTATTGTGACCATTCAAATTGCAAAGCGCTCAAAGAAAACATATTTTCACTCCTCTATTCTAAGCTGTTATCCATTCAACAACCTCACTGAGCATTTTCGCCAATAGGAGATACAAATAAGAGATACAAATAAGAGACAGCCGGCATAATTTCTTCACCACACTAACAGAAGACGCAGCTTCAACCTGTTCTGACATCTTTTCCGTTTTCTTAGGTTTTCCCGTCCTAGACTGCCTAAAATGAATGTGAGGAGAGTACATTAAATATCTTATTGAACTCAACCCTACCAACAGTGAAATAATCCACAAAATATGAATATGTCACTTGCAAAAAAGTTGTTATTGCTTATTTTATGACCTCTACAATTTCTTTTTTGCATTGTTTTTTCAACTTTAAGGTATAATATGTCTTTTACAGACCATACCCCCTCAAATGCTGAATTAACAAAAAAAATCATAAAATATGAATACTTCACCTGCCAAAAAGGGATTTATGCTTATTTTTTTTACCTGTACAATGTATTTCCTGCCTGAAATTGCTTAATTCCATATCTTACTGAATTCACCCCTTCCAACACAGAAATAATCCATAAAATCCACAAAACATGATTATTTCACTTGCTAAAACTTGAGTATTGCTTGTTCATTTACATGGTAAATGTAATTTTTGCTCAAGTTATGTTTACTTCTTTCTATTACTGCTGTTGTTGGATTATTTTTCGTCAATGACTATTTTCTGTCAGCCTTTTTATCGCCTATCTAATTTCACTCCATAGCACTAGTTTTGCTGTGCGCTCACCGCTGGCAATTTGTCTCCCTTATCCTCTCCTGTCAGAAGCTTGTTACTGTTGATACTGAATTTGAGCGTGACATAAAAAGGGCAGCGGCGGGTGAGTCTGGATCGAGGATGGATGCATCTGCTAGAACACCAAAATTATCCAAAGCATGGGAATACTTTCGAGCAAGTGGTGATAGAGTGTTTTGTACACTCTGTAATGCTGCGTTCACAGGGCATCAGAAAAGCAAAGATGCAGAAACCTGGATGCTGGATCACACTGCGGTCAAGCTGCTTTGATGCTTCGACGCTCTGGATTCTCTGCGCTCTCGTTTTTATCTGCTCTGTTCTGTAGCTTCAAGCTAGAAAGCGTTGCAAATAGCCATAGTTTAAATTACTAAATTGGTGGAAGAAAAATGGATTTTAAACAGCCGATTCATGAGTCCAACTTTTTATGTAAGAGAATAAGAATCCTGGTCAGCAAGCAAATTACAGTTATAATCATTAAACTGATAATAATTAGTTTTATCCTTGATTTGAACGACCTATTAATTCACTATAACTTCCACATCTTGTTATTTAATATGGTCATAATTTTCTGGTAATCTTGCACAACACCTACAGTATGTCATATGTTACATTGTTTTCTAATAGTGCAGACAATATGATTTGTGCTGACCGCTTTCCCAGTTATTTAAAATGGTCTTACTGATTTTCATTGATAATAATGTAAAATGTAAAATTTTCACCAGACAACTTATCTTCAACATATATTGTACCGTACTGTATATTTTGTGGTAAAATACTGGTAGCTTTAGTAAGCAGGAATTTACAATGAGAATTAACTGGAGGAAATAAAATGTTTTGCAATTTTACCTTGTTTTTTTATTGACATAGCCTTTAAAAATGTTTACCGCATTTTAGCTGTTTTAAAAAATTTTTTACGATAATGTTTATCACACATTGTAAAATAAACAAGAAATCACTGTAAAAAGAACTATAATACTTCTGTTGGTTTACAGCAGATAAATGTAAAAAGGGCTATAGAAAGGTTGTTGTTTTTTTCATAGGACATTACAGTTCAAGGGTTTATGGTATTTATTTTTTCTACAATTATTTACTTTGAAAAAACATTTTTCAACAGTAAAATTGAAGGTTACCATAACACTGGACCTTTTTGTCTTGTAGATATTTCCCTTTTTTATAACGGTACAGTCCTGGCAACCACAGCTGCTGGTATTTTACCGTAATTTTGACATTTTTTTGGTGTACAATTTAACTGGGAGAGCTCCACTTATTGTACTTATTGCTGACATTATTTAGCAGTTCCCAGTCTATCAAAAGTACTGTTTTGTCAATACATCTCAGCACTTATGTCCTATTAATTAACATTTTGGATTTTAATTCACCTGCTTACTACCGGTACTATTGTTAATATAAAGTTTTGCTTGAAAATATCTATTATTTTCAATCAGGATTTATGCTTTGAGGAGATTGTGTCTATTTTCCATTCTGCGTTGGTCATGTTTCCTGAGAGTATTAAATTTTAAATTCAAATATGAATATAAATATAAATATTATTTTAACCTCAGCTCTTGCAGAAACTTGATTCTGGATCTTTTTGGAGACAGCAATTATCTTTTACTAGGTCTAGTTGTTCTTGTCAGCTAACCCCACAATTTGTTAGGATTATTGTGAGGATATTTCACTGTTTTTCCTGCTTCTCCACAGAGACAGCAGTGATGCGCTTATGCAGATTTCCCACTATGTAATCCTGGGATTAGGTGCTCGATTCAGGAACTCGTGTCCCATTTCCATTCAGAAGGAAACATTATTTTGATTTGAAAATATTAATCATCTAATAATCCAAATCATTTACTCAACCCCAGAGGGGCTTATGTACTTCATTTCCTATTTTTTAATGTGAAAATCTAAAACACCCAAAACAACTTATACAGTGAATATTTATGTAAATGTCAAAAAAGTAAAATATAGACTACCTGGACTATTGTACCTTATATCATACCTCCCTAAACTTTAGCAATCATATGTTTTAGGTCACAGTCATGCAACACAAGCCTCTGATGATTTTTCCATGAATTGCTTATATCATAAAATATCTATTCAAGACAAACAAATCTGAAAATATATATACAAAAAATTAATTCATTCACTTCTTTTCATTCAACACTGCATACGTGATATGCTTCATATGATTTAGATCAGCAAGGCCTGCAGCAAGCTCTATTTAGGCTGGGTTTGTGTCGGAGAGCATATAGGCCATATAAAGGGCACCCTGATTGCCATCAGGCAGATAATTTCCTCTTCAGTGCCACAGCTTGTCTGAGAAAGATCGACTAAAAAGATATAATCAACAATATATAATTTCCTTTAGATCTAGATAAATATATGCATTGATGTGGTGGGTAGGCAGAGGCACATATTTCTTTTTTAGCTGAAGACATTTCTTTTACAGATCTTTATAGTTTTTTTAAATAATTTTGTATTGCTTTTTTTCTTTTTTTGAGGTTTTTGCAGGACCAGTGGCTCATTATTTCAGGAAACGAGGTACAAGAGACGGGGAGAGACATGCTTATTTAGTTTTTAAGATCTAATGTTACTTTATGTATGCAGTGATAAACATATCTCCTTAAGGTATGAAAATGCATCATAATAAATAATCAATTGGGAATAAATTATGTTTTATAAAAACACAAAATATGTTCTTTATAATTATATACTTTAAAGCAATGTGCCAGTGTTTCTAATGTGCCTTACTCTTATTATAAGAAGCATCATGAGTAAAACGGGGCAGTGAGTGTTACGATAGGGGAGGGGTAGCAAGCATGAAGGCAGTCAGCATGTTCACTGCATTATTGATCAGCTTCCACCTATATTTAGCAACCAAATGTATAATATCACCTCAGTTTGATGATTCTTTAATATTCCTACATAAAGCTGTCATCTGTTTCCCAGTTGGGAGTCAGTGTTGGATCTACAGGCCTGTACTGTACCATTCACATGAATATCAGTAGGTGTGGGGGGAAGGGTGCCATCTGAAAGTGCTCTGAGGCCAGGCCTCCCTATTTTCTGCTCCCTC